TTTCCCATGGAAGATAAACACTTTTATCTCAGGAATTCTCATCTGCTGTTTCCAGATGTACAGAGAAGACTTCTGGCCTGGAAGTATGAAGGACCTGTAAAGTGAAAAAGCGAGGGGACCAGTTCTAAACCTGTGGGGTGAGAGCTGTTCTGCCCGCCCTGCTCACAGCTGAGCCAGGCAGTAAGCTGCAGCAGAGCCCTGCACGCTGAGCTGTGTTTCAGGCTGGGCTGAAGGGCCTTTCCAGAAAGAAGGGAAGAAATAAAATGAATGATACTATAAAACACTTAGAGAGGAGGCCAATTGGGGGCACATGCAATACATTTTTAAAATGTCACAGCAAGCTAACGTAATTAACGTGTAGAATAAAAAATACAGTCTTTCCGCTCTCAAACCTCTTGGTTTTTTGCTTGGAGTGAGTTAAGGTAATTACTTATGGCCATGCCATCCCCAAATAGCCAATGGCACCAGCATTTATATGACATGACATATTTCATGTTAAGTACACTATATGCTGTCTTAAAAAGAAGAGGAAAAATTGTTTGAAGAATCAATTTGCCAACAAAAATTTTGTTGAAAGCTAGTTTCTCAGTGTTACAGTATCAGAAAGTGAAAAGCTAGCTCTGCTCACTTTTTTTGGCTGTCTTTGAAGAATCTGACATTCACCAGCTGAGCTGTATTCGGAGCCTAACCTGCTCTTTGCTACCTGTTCCCACCCCAGAGCTGTGTCAGCAAGGTTATTTGAAGGGTGAATTTGGGGAGCTGATTTGGCTGAAAAGTAACTGTTTCTGTCAGATTATTTTCAGTCCGCTTGGCTGCTTGAGCTGTTTAACCGCTTGTTCTATCAGTGCAGGAGAGGGATGGTGAAGGAATGAAGAGCTGCTTTTGCAGCTGCCACCAACAGCAGCTCACGGAGCTCTGCAGGGTGGGCAGCATGTTGTGCTAACTCAGTGTGAAAAGCAGTTTGAAAGTACTGTTTTTATGGAATTCAGTAGGTTTATCCTCATTATTCATTAAGGGGGTGATTATAGCTGTCACAAATGATTGTTCAGTTTTGTTTTTAAAATCTTTTAAAATGCACTGCTGAATTTTAATTTAAAAACTTTGTACCAATTCATTCATGTAAAGGTTCTGGCGTAACAGGGATCCTGCCTAGTGTTGTAGCAGAAAAACTTCACCTTGGGTTCTCAGAAACCTTCCTTTCCCAGGGGACCAGCTCCGTTCCTGCTGCCAGCCTAGCAGCTATCTTATATTTAGGCAGCCGAACAACCTGTGTGCTGCTGCTGCGCTGGGGTGTGATGCCAAGCCCTGTGCATGGAGTACGGCGTCCCCCAGCTGCTGCTCGTGCTGTGCTCCTTCCCCTCTCATGCGAACACCACCTCTGCGCCGGAGGTGTCGGGAGGCTCCGGGGTGGGCAGGTCCCCATTTCCCAGCTGCGTGCTGGCAGATCCTGCCGTCTGGAAGCGTGGGGACGACTCCTGCACAAACAGCTGGGTCACAAACCCGCATGTTTGGGGCCACTGGGAAGGGATCCGAGGCAGGGTGTGCTTTCCCCATTTGTAATGGCTTGGAGGGACCTCATTTTGCAACTGAGAATTGACTGTTTGGGCTGTATTGAGTTTAGCTGCTGGGAATGTAAACAGCCATAGCTGCTGTAGTCTGGGCTTTGTAATCTTCGTTTGGGATGGGCTGTGTTCATGATATCTCGTGGGGGAAGCTTACAGTGGAGGGTCTCCAGGCTGGAGGCCAGCTGCCAACTGGGCTTGATAAAGCCCTTGGGAACACTCTCTGCAACTAAATCTTCCAATTCTTAATTCCAGAAGGATTTCTTCATCACTTTGTGCTACCGATTAGGTAAGATACAAGTAAGACCAAACAAGGGATAAGGACAGAACTTTAAGTAGCAGTGAAAAAGAAATTCTGTTATTTTCTGTAAGTTTGCTAATTCTCTAATTAGTCGTCAGAAGGAGTCAGCATCCCATGAAGCTGCAGTTAGATGTAAACTTTAAACTAGTAGTACCTGTTATTCAGATGGAGACAGAGGTACCTTTGGTTTGTTGCTTTTTCCTTGCTCAGAGAGGAGATAGATGGTGCTGCTATTGCAAGGCTGCACTTTCTGTTTCATGGTTGTGGTCACTGAAAAACAGTATTATTTAGTGGCTCTTTCTTGGCTTCCTTATGAAAGGTGGAATGTGGGCCTGCAGGAAGGGTGAGGTCTTCCCTCCTGCATTTCCGAACCTGACATCATCATCAGCGGCTTTTCTAAATTGGCGCTGGCCTGGGGACGCTGTCCTGCTGCCACCGACGGCTGGGGAAAACACCCCTGACTTCAGAGGAGATCTGGATTTTCAAGTTGTGACGTTAAATCCTTGATAAACCAGTTAGGTGTACGAAGAGCATTTAAGATAAATATATGAAAATTGTTTTGCACTTCATATAATGATACATAGTCTGCGGGTAACCATATTTTAAATGGAAACAAACTTCTGCCAGTGTGTTACTGAGCCGTCTTTGCTTTTCACTCAAATGAATACAATTTCCTAGGAGAAAGGAGGGGAAGGAGAAATCAAACTTTTCATAAATCTAAAGTTGTATGGAAGTTCTATACTATTTGATGGTTTTAAATTAATGTTGTGGCTAAAGCCGTTCAAAAGCATCCAGTAACTTTATAGTAGTATAATGAAAGGTTCTGTTGAACACAAATATGGAATAATATTAGAAGGAACATTGTTTCCTCTAAAAATAATTTCTATAAAACGCATTTCATGATTCCCAATAGCTAAAAGTGAATTTACAAAATCTTATAGTAATAGTAATTTGATTTTTGCTGCGTGGGTGGGAAAAATCTGTGAACTCTCAATCACTATTCTTGTGATTATCAGCAGTTCAGTGGTTTTGACGATGTGTACATATCCAGTTATAAGTACTCTAAAGTTGTTTTCAATTACACCACCTGAGGTGGCTGTTTTATTTCCTAAAACTGCTGGTTAGGTTAAGGTTGTGCGTTCTCTTCTGGTGTGTCAGATCTCCGCTTCTGTGGTGTCTGTTTCGTATCCCGTCAGTACGCAAGTGTGTCAGCACCCAGGGTGAACGAACTGCTGAAACGCCTTCGTCTAATCTAACTTTCTCTTACACTGAGTCAAATTAAGGACTAGAGAGAGAGACAGGGGAGTTGGTGCAAGCTTCACTTGTGTAATGTAGATGTAGAAACCAGCTGCATTTTCTCTTAAACAGATTTCTAGGCAAAAGTAGGACACCCTGAACTGTATTGTTTAGCGAGCTTATGGCAGGTAAGCACAGCCTGCTCAGCCCGCGCCCTTCTCAGGGCTGCACTCCTTCATCTTCAGTCTGGTGATCCTGGCATACAGAGTGCCGCCTTGATCAGGACGGGATTTTACCCGACAGGTATTTGAATTGGTGCCTTTTTATATGCATTGCTTAGGTTGACTTGGTGTTTAAGGTGTTAAGATGTGTCTAGACGAGGCGCAAAGCTAAAGCAATATGCCATTTGGTAGCATTGTATACACTCTGTGCAATACAATCTTTCTTAAGGGTGGGTAAAATTTAACTTCTTGAAAGCTGCTAGTGAAGGGCATCCATTCACCTGTAGAAAACAGGGCTGAGCAGAAAATGGTGTTTGAAACCAAAGGCCATGTTAGCCGTGGTAAATACAGCCCTTTCATCGACCCTTCTTCATGAAAGGCATGTACAGTATCAAATTCAGTTTTAGAAATAGAGATGGCTCATCTCTTACACAGTCTGTTAAAGGACAGAAAGCTCTGGCTGCTCAAGAATTTTGTGTAATACCATTATCATGCACAGGACTACATTCCCACAGAAGTATTTAGTAGCTCTGTATGCTTCTATCAGATCAGTTAGCTGATGTGTGTAGTAGTTGCTACTTAAGATTAGATTAAAATTTATTTAAGAATGTGCTGCTATAACTGGAGTATTCTTACACTGTCATTCTTCCATGTAATTTCTGGTGGGATTTCGCATGACTCAAAAAAACCTCCCAAAACAAACAAACCCCCCAGCCCCCCCCCCCCCCCCCAAAAAAAACCCCAAAACCAACCCCAAAAAACACCCAAAATAATCCACCAGCAAATAATTGCTCTCTTATGGGATATAATTTCTATCAGACAGTATTTCTGTTTGTGTGGAAGAAAAGTTTATCAATCTTGTATGTGTTTTCCTAAACAAATAAATATTACAGTGCTTGCAGTTTATGTGCCTATCATAGTATTTAAGTGGCTTTTGTCTTAGTCTTGTTGAAGTTTTGAGCATTACTGTATTCTGGTGTTTAATTATTAAACACCTTATGGTTCACAAATAGTTCAAGCAGATAATGTGCCATGAAATTGAAGTCAAATGCCTTAAAAAAACCAAAAACCAAACCAAAAACCACCTTAAAGTCAATGAATCTTGTCTTCGGAAGCATTTCACAAGTTCAGCTGATGAAGCTTGATCAAGAAAATGAACTTTCTGTGCATGACCAGTCTTGTAGTAGGTTATTAAACAGATTTTAGGATCAGAAGGAAGTCCCTGTAGTAGATGAGGAACTCTGACAGCAGCAGGGAAACTCTCTGAACAGGAAAATAGAGTACTGGAGTACCTCCAAGTTCTCTATAGCAGTAGATGTGTAGTCACTGTGAACAGTCAAGTAGAAGAGATCACAGGTGAACTAAATTTGTCTTTATTTTATAGATCTAGCAAAGGTAGGGTAAAGCAGTGTTACAGCATATGAGTCAACACCGAACAGATCTGGGTCAACATTAAACAATTCAAAGTATAAACTGGGATTGGAAAAAGGTGTGGAATTGTATGTGTAAAGGTTTGATTATATTTGTAACAACTGTTAACATTTTTGTCTGGAAGTATGTGTGAGTATTCGGATATTTTTCTGTTGAGGGTGGACCTTTACTTGGAATACTATTAACTTCTGATGATCTTTTTAAGTAATAAATCTTTTCTATTGTTTTAGTATTATGGAAGTCAGCAAAATGAGGTAATGGGAGATTTCTGATGAAGGTTGTGTGCATGTAAGGTTAAGTGAAGGTGTTCAGGCTACCATTTCCACTGATTGCTGATTGCTAAAGCTCTGCAGTGGTAGAATATAAAAATATGAAGTTGGCTGTCCTACTTTCCTCATGTCTTTATATTCGTTTATGTTCATGTGTGTTGGTAATGTTACCTGATTAACAACATGGAGTGAAATTCAAGTTGCTTCAGCACATCTTTGCATTCAAGTGAAGTTACTCAGGATTCCAGTTTGCTTTGCTGTTAAACTGTGTGCAGTCTGAAATATCGTTGAGCTTGGTGCAGAGGATCTGTGCTGTGGGTGGGATTCCGGGAATGTCAGGCTTTCCCGAGCACCCTGTGCTGGGCAAGCCATCCATGTTCGCTCCTTGGTTGGGGCCGGGAGCCAGTGCTGCATACGACATCGTGAACACGGTGGTGTTTGCAGCAATGGTCATAATGGGATTATAACTTGAAACTGAGGAGGTTTTATTGAAAGCATTGTAGCAATCTTTGACCTTGAACATGCTAATTAGTCTGACAATGGTCTTTTTTCCTCCCTTAGGGCTGAGAAAACAGAGGTACTCAGTGAAGACCTGTTGCAGGTATTGTAACACAATTAACATGTATTTTTTTAAATGCTCTTTGTGAAGTTTGAGCCTTCTGAGTTTTGTGGAGTACCTAATGTGGGGAAGAAAAATGCCGCAAATGACAGGTGTGAAAACAAGGATGTCTTTGACTTCTCAGCACATGAAAAAACTATGATACAATTTGAGTGGAAAAACTCTGGTACTTCTGTTTCTGAATCCAATCATATGGCTTGATAAAGTGAAGGAGGAAGCATTTTTGCTTTTAATTAGATGAACCAGCTTGTTAAGCTTATGAACAATTAGTGCTAATGATTTGCCAGTCTGTCTGGTGGAGGACGATGAGCTGGGAAGAAACTGATTAGGCACAGCTGATTTCTGTCTTCATTTCTGTTTCTCTTGAAGAGGTCAACTTGGGCCTTAAGAGAAGTGGCAAAAAACATGCCAACTGCTTGCTAATAGCTAATGTCAATTTTTTCTGAAAGTCTGGAATTGCTCTAAATAAATGCACAAATGCTTCTTGTGTAGCTTGTGATACTTGTTCTCAAATTTGTCACACTGACATTTGATTTGTTTGCAGACTTGTCATCTTTTTGAAAGTATGCCATCTAATCAAACATTACTTTCATGGTGGAATTTTAGTTGCAACTGTTAGATTAACAAGATTGACTGATTACATGGACAAATTTGTTCTACATAGTTTTCTTCCTCTGGTTACTTTGTGAAATGTTTCTGCCAAAAAAAATGGCAGAACATAAATTTTAAAAAAAAAAAAATGGCAGAACATAAATTGGCAGGGGAAGTCAGGCTAGCTGCTCCATGGGACCTCAAGTGTAATGGTTATTTCAAATTGATTACAAAGCATCTTAGTATGCTTAAGTTCAGGACCTGTATATGAAACATGGAAGCCAAACAAATGGTGCAAGTACTTTTATTTCAAATCTCTCCAGCTGTTCAGATTAAAGTAGAAGATGGGAGAATGTATCAGCTTTAAAACTTGAATTCAGCACAAATACATGAAATCATCTTGAGTAATGGTGAAATGAGCTGACCTGAAACATATTACCCTGCTTTTCAGGGGGCTGCTTTATTTGAACCATAAATATCTTAACAGTTTGACAATACTATTTCCAATTTCTAAAGAGATATGTACAATTAAATGGCATAAATGATGTTAAAACACCTTGATAGCTGTCAAGGGCCCATCTGTTTTCTTGGTTAGCTGCAGAATAGTAACAAGAAGTGAAAGCCAAAAGTACTGCTGCTTGTTGCCAAAAAAATTTTGCAAGCAAGGCTTTCCCAGGCACAGAGCAGACTGGCTACACCCAAGTGGAAGAATTTACTCACTTGTTTGTTTGCTCTTGGGGGCTTGTGGCAGGGAGAGAGGCTCTTATCTAATTAAAGAGCTTAAAAGTGTGGTACTGTTCACTTTATAAACATGTTTCACAGTGTTCTTTTTTATATTTAGCTCAAGCTTTGACATAGGATTGCCATAGCTTTTTTCTGTTTTCTGAAGTGTAATACTCCATTTCAAGTATCTCTGTTAGATGTGTTCCTGTCTGAAGACAAGGAGTATAATTCAGTACTGGAAAGGCTTCTACAATAGACCCACTTTCTGGCATGCCCTTGTAGTCTATAATAAAGCAATTGTGTGAGGTTTTGTACACTGAAGATGCCCTGTGGGTATAGACAGCATGGCCTGTAGGTCACATTTTCAGTTCAAAGGTAGCGTAATGGAGATTAATGTCCTTCATGGTTTTCCTGACATCTTTGAACTAAAAAGCGGATCAGAGAGGAGAGTATATTATCGTGAAGTTTTGGAGTCATGTTCTTCCTATCAGTCTTCTGCCCTTTGAGTTTGGCATTCAGACTGCCTGGAAAGAAGCTGTTGGGAATATATGTGCTCCAGAGTCTGTCTAAGCAACGTAAGCCACCACGCGTGGCTGACGAGGGCTGTGTTAGTCTGCTGTGATCTGTAAGATGGTTCAGTTACAGGATGTCACCATGTTCCAGGTGTGGGAAAAAAACCTGTGCTCAGTATTTTAAGAAGTCTTAATTATGTGACCAAGCAAAAATAAATGTTTTCACAAATAGTGGATGACTTAGAATGTGTTGGTGGTATTTAATTTTTAAGATAACAAAACAGAAATGAATCGTCTTAGCTGCCACGGTAGACCATAAACAGTACCTTCTTGTTCATATATCTTCATATGGACTTTTTTGAAGTGGACTTAATTTTGAGCTTGTTGGTACATACTCTGTAAATAAAAGGCAATGCCTTGTGCTTTCAGGCAGTCCTTCTCAGGCAGTTTCTCTGTACCTTACTCTACCATAATAGATTTTTGAGCACCTCAACTTGGAATCATCTTGTGGCTGATGAGGTTTTAATCCCTTTAGTGCCTCACGTAGCCAGTGAAACTTCAGTCTTTCCTACATTGGTCCTTCAACTCACCAGTCCTCCTATACTGGTTCTTTTTCACCTTCCCTTTGGACTTACAAAGGCAGCACAGCCCCAAGGCCCAGCTTTTGGTGCTCCTCCAGGCTACAGCCTAGAGGTGCTCCCCTCTTCTGAGAGGAAATGGGGAGCCCAGTCCTGCACTTGCTCTTGCATTCAGGACAGGTCTCCTGCATCCAACAGCAGTGATTCTGTGCTGATCCTCACCAAGTCCCATCTGTCTGTGCCTCCCTCCACTGGCATCTTCTTCCTCACAACTTTTCCCAACCCACACTCCTCTTCTGTTGGATCTGCTGTGCCTTTTAGTAGCTGTAGTTTTTGCTAGCTGTTTTTGTTGGGACCTAATTACATCCTTCCAGTTGTAACCACTTTAGGGGTATACATATCCCATTGTAGTAGTGCCAAATAAACCTGTTGGGAGGAAAAAGATGTCATCCTTACCTGGATGTATAACATTCTAAATGAGAATTTATAGCATTTCATGTTCATTAGAACATAGCAGTCTGCCTCCTCTGGAAAAACCAACTCCTGCTTTAAATCCAGGTACGGTACCCTTAACAGGAGCTAACATGGGGCATAATAACTTAGCACTAAAATTACTACTCTGTCAGCTAATCTGTATTTATTATTGATAGGAAAGCTGGGGAGAATTATTGCCCTCCTGAAAATGTAACAGTGATTTAGAGCTGTATCAAAAACTGGAATCTGTTCAGATTATTTCTACAGATGAAATCTACTTTTTTTTTTCTTGCTTTTTAAATAGAAGCCATTCCAAAGAGCCTCGTTTTATTCTTGGTGAGTCATCAAAATGCAGATAAACCACATTCTTTTGGTGCTGTGCAGAGAGAGCTCGGTGCCATAAGCAGTTCTATCCCAGTGCTCATCACTTAGTTTGCTTTTGGTGTTCTTTGAAATAAAATAGTCCAAATTCCCTCACTTAAACAGTTTATTAATCTTTGTCATATTCACAGTCTATGTACTAAGCCATGTTTCAAATATACTGTGATAAACAGAACTCTTGTTTGTGCATTGACTCCTATTTTTTTCATTCCACATCCCTTTTGAATCCCATTAATCTCTCCCTGAAAATATTATTTTGCTTAGCATGTACGAACTTTGTCGTTGTATTTTATGGCCAGAGAAGGAAACACAATAAAAGCTTGCAGTATGTACATTTGACCTAGTGTAAAGGAGTGGTCAGATATGTCTTTAGCCTTCTACTTTACAAGATCACAATGAAAAAAATATGAGAGTTTTCCCACAGTTTTCTCCCTAAGTTAGTGTCTTAGATATCTGCATGTGCCATTCATCTCAGATGGCAAGAATCAACCTGATTCTCTTTTGCCAAGACAAAAAGTAGGGGCAATGTTTTCCTCCCTCTTCCACTCTCCAGTCTTGTGAGCATTGCGAGCTCCAACTGAATTGCAGTGCCACTGAGAAAAAAAGCAATTTAAATATCTTTCCAAGCATTTTTGCTGTCAGGCACTTCTGCTAAGCATCTGAGCTTCTTGTAAGCTGTAGAACTTGAGAAATATGCAACCCAGAACTAAGAGTGGTACAGGAGGAAGATTTTCTGCTGAGGCCGGGAAAATAACTTCTGTTTTTTGCTTTGTTTTCTCTTCCTCCTCTCTCCCCCTCCTGCCGACTAGATCGAGAGACGTCTTGACACTGTGAGATCTGTTTGCCACATTGCACAGAAGCGATTAATTGCATGTTTTCAGGGCCAGCATGGTACAGATCCTGATAAGAGACATGTAAGTACAATTGCCCTTTGTCTTGTTTTCTGAGACTAGTCTGACGGTCTGGCCTTCTAAATACTGATCAGCTGCTATGCTTCAAAATATCCACATGTTGACATTATTTGGTGAAATGCTAGCTGCAATTCCCCAACCAGATACAGTAATATGACCTTGGAGTACCTTAGTAGTGTCAGGATGCTCGCTTGTTTCTGCAATGTGCTGAGTACTTACAGCTTTCATAAGACCTGACTAAGAAGAGACGATACTCTGCAACACTGGTCAAGCTCCTCATACTTAGAATTATCTTTGTGCACTGAAATCTCCAATTAACTGTAGATGTTTTTCTGTACACGTTTGATTTCTGCCCCTCTTTAGCAAAGCTGTATGTAGGTTTTCTTGAAGTGTTAGAACCAGAAATAATTAACATTCATGTTTTCTCCTTTTATTGAATAATAGAGATCTCCTGAAAACGGGCGCACAGAACGAACCTCTGCAGAGAGATAGATGACAAGCTAGTTGCTTAGATTTCAAGTTAAAGCTGTTTACTTGTCTTTGACAGTAGTTGAGATACATTTTGGCCCAGTCATTCCAACTAAGACTGAGAAGAAAGTGCTTTTCAGAATATCTGAGAACAGGAGTCTTGAGGCTTGAAACTTTTTGTGACTTGGCATTTTCTTAAAGTCAAGGAACAAGCTGCATATGTGTATAATAGAAACCATATGGAAGAAGAGAAAAATCTTAGAGGGAATGTACTGGGAAAGCTGGAAAGGGTGAACAGCTCTAAGCTAAGCACTGTTCCTTCTGTTCCATAGAAAAAACTTCCTCTGACAGCTCTTGCTCAAAATATGCAAGAAGGATCTGTCCAGCTAAGTGATGAAACTCTGTTGGGGTAAGTATTTGGCTTTATAAGTTGCAGTCTGTCATTTTATTGCCTGCAGGGCTCTAATTAGAGACTTTGGGTACATAAAGGCTGTTTTCAATCTAATGAAACGAATATTTGTAGATTCCTTCTCTAATCCAAAGGGAGAAAAAGTGAGCAAGCATTTCTTCTTGAGTGATTCTGGGGCAAGTTTTAGGCTTGCTCTGAATTGCATTCCAGAGGATTCTGATTCTCTACTATCTTAAAAGCTTTTGAAAATGGCTTTTCTCCTTGTGGATTAGTAAAATTATTATCTCCATTTAAAGTTTAAAATTTAGTGTAAATGCTGCGTTCTGCAGTTTTGCATTAATGACTTAAAATAATGCCAGTTTGCATTAATGGCTTCTAGTTTAAAATAATGCCAATTTCCTTATCCTGGCAAAGTGCTTATTTGCAACGTACAGGAAAGTGGCTGAAACAAATGAACGTCAATATGCTGAATTCCTAGAGCAAATGTGTTTCCTTATTGCTGATGGGAATTCTAATGGAGACAGTGTAGAATGACCTTAGAAACCCTTATGTGCATTTTTATGAGCTGTCGCAGGAGACTTAAACGTGGATAAAAATCTTGGAGAACAGGGTTTTTCCTTAGAACAAGCTTAAAACAAAGGTCAAATCATGGTTTTGGAAGCTGAGACTGCTGCATATGTGATCGCTTAGCGTTATGGTGTTAAGACTTTTTCACATTAAAGGACCTTAGGAGAAAATCAAATACTGCATTGAGCAATTTTCCTGCATCTGGTGAGATGGAAGGATGGGCTTTGAAATTAATATTAACTTCTCTGCCCTTAGGGCCAGTATAATCACCTATGTGACTTAAAGCCTCCAAAAATGTTGTAATGGCTAAGGAATTTTAGAACACACAGGTTTAATAACACTCCTTGCCTATCCCATGACGGCACAGAGCATCTTGGTTTTATGCCATTAAATAATGCATTGCTTTATGCAACACAGCTTTCCAAAAGGGTAGCAGATGACAAAGGGCCACCACTGTTTTGTTTTGAATCTTTCTTCTTTAGTCAGTAGTAACTCACATTACAACTTCCTATAATTCTTAAAGGAAAATGCTAGATACATGTGGTGATGCAGAGAATAAACTGGCAATGGAGCTCTCTCAGCATGAAGTACAGATCGAAAGAGAAGTTTTAGATCCACTGTGTCTACTAACAGAGGTAAGTCACTTCAGCCTGATTGAAGAAATAAATCTGGATTTATGTATAAACTGAGCAAAAAGGGTTTATCTCATGGCTAATAATAAAACTGTTCTAAGGGGTCATGCATTAGTGGTGGAAAGTGGATATGAAATCTACAAAATGTAGTTTATTACAATACACAATTTAAAAATAAAGGTAAGCCTTGAATTCTTGTTTTAGACAGAGATCCCAAACATTCAGAAGCAGAGGAAACAGCTTGCAAAGCTGGTGTTGGACTGGGATTCTGCAAGAGGGAGGTAAGAAATATTTTTAATTACTAGGTCCTTTTCTGTTCATGTTAACTTCTTGTTGGCATCTCATGGCATCTGATCTAATGCTGGTACTTGCTTCTGAAATGCTACTGTATGCCTGTTAATACTTTGCTGAAAAAAGACAAACTTACATTAAAGTTATTCAAAAAAGGACTCATGACTGCTAGATACAAACAGAATCAAGATTTTGGAGCTCTTACATGCCTATATATAATTGGAAAAATGCTGAAAACTCATCTTCTTTCCAGTTCACTTAAGTTGTCAACTTGAATAGGAGTCTAATTTTGTAACCATGCCAAGTGCTTTTACAGCATTTTATTGAACCATCTTATTGGTAGAGTCCTAGGTTGTTCAACTTACCCTTAAGTCCCTTTAGAAGGTCTTAAACTGTGGTGATAATTTATGTAGCATTTTCTGGGATTGTTAGTTCTAACATATTATGCACCCATGTTAGAAGTTGTAGAGAATGCAGGATTTCTTGTGGATTTTTATAGTTGTTTAGCTGTTTGTGAATTATGCCAGCATGTCATAAATGGTGTGTTTTGAGCACCTTCCTTAGTTCTGTTGGAAAACTTCTGAAACTATTTGGTTTGTTTTCTGTCAAAAGAAACCAATTTCAAGGGAGTCATAAATGCAGATTCTTGTTTAATATTAGTTTTCACCAAATGACTGAAGCCTTTCTTCCACAGGTATAATCAAGCCCACAAGACTTCAGGAACAAATTTTCAAGTGCATCCTTCAAAAATAGAATCTCTTAAAGAAGAGATGGATGAAGCTGGAAATAAAGTAGAACAATGCAAGGTATGACAAGATGAGTCTCTATCCTTTACATACCTCTCATTAGCAACAATAGCAATCAGAATATGGCTGCTTCTGTAAGCCTTGCATGTGGAACTGGCTGTCTGATTACCGCAGTCACAAATTATGTGGCTGTTAACAAACTTAATGTCTTAAAGCTAGCTGATCTCTGTCTGAATTGCTTGAATTTAATGAGGAACTTTTTTTTTTAAGGTGGGTATTTTACATTATTTTCTGTTTTAGTCTGAGACAGTTATGAGAAGGAACTGTGTCTTAGCCTTGACTGAAATGTTCAGGGTGTCCGTGTGCTTCAAGCCACTGAGTAGCCATGCAGTGTGAGAGCTACCTGGATGAAATTCAGGCTGCTGACATAAAAGGAGCATTCTGAGTATTACAGCTCTGAGCAGTTCACATTCAGTTTCACTTCTCAGTTGTCAAATACTACATTATGCCACGGTTGAGCTGAGCACCAAAAACCTTTTAGTAGTACTTGTCCTTGTATGCAGGGATTGGCTCTAACTAACATACTGCCATAAAATCCAATTGTTGACTTAAGTGGGCAACTGCTTTGCTATATAAAGAAGTCAGGCATTTTGAATGAATTTTGCTTGAAAGAATACATGTAGCAGAGCAGGCGGATTACTGGCTTCCTGTACTGCCTGAATCGATAGTTCAAACTTACTGCAGGCAAAGTAAACACAGGTACTTCTGTCCTTCTGTATAAGTTGAAATGCCCCTGTAAATTTGATGTACTATTTTGCATTCTTTTCTTTTTCAAAGGATCAGCTAGCAGCAGACATGTATAACTTTGTGTCCAAAGAAGGGGAATATGCTAGATGTTTTGTTATGGTGAGTATTTTTTCAGTATGACTTTGCAGCACGTATGTGCATAGACACTCGATTCTCAAAGATTGTATTTTGTGTGCTAAACCTTCTAGTCTTGTATTATGTGCTCATCAGAAGCTAATGCTCTTTTTGTTTTTAAAATGTGGCTTCTGTTCTCAGTTATTAGAAGCACAAGCAGATTACCATAGAAAAGCATTAGCAGTCATAGAAAAGGTCCTACCCGAAATTCAAGCCCATCAAGGTAAAGTAACCTGTGCTCTGGCTGATGCTTCTCCTTGCCTGTGCCACCTATGCACAATACTCTCCTCCTTTATCTTGATTCTCTTGCATGCAGACTTATTTAATAAGGCCATTTTGATCTACTTAACAATTTTACATTCCCAAGCATAATTCCATCTTTGTGTTCTCTGGAGTTCTCCAGCCATATTTTAACACACTAATAAAATATTAAGAATCTATCCGATACCGAAGAGGGTAAAGGAAGGATTTTTCTATTTGCTTGCACTTCTTCCTTGATATCATGTGACCTTTTGCTAATTCATACCTGGCTTTTTAGGCCAATGAAAGTTTCATTGTGATTAGGAACTTTTTAGGGTCCTTGCTTCTTGAATTATTACTAGGCGATTATCAGAAAAACTCCCCTTATTCTAAGGAGCTTGACTTTTTTTTCCTCCTCTTATGCAATCCTTTTTCCCAGTGTGCTCACTGCACTACAGCTGCCTAACGGAGTGTACACATTATTGTGTTGAATATCAGCAGTTAAGAAAAGCGAGTAATACAGCTTCATTTCTTCCCCATGCTACTAAGCTTTCCATTGTCAATGGGAGTTAAGGTGTATCATTAATGGTTCGGTATGAAGATGCAGTGTGTGTTGTTGAAATTGCTATCCTTAATACTGGCTATACTGTCTCTTAATCTGCTAAGTGCTTTGAACAAGAAGTAGGCTGAACAAAGTCTGAGAAAAACATGATCTGAGCTGAGCAAGACTCAAGTATCTTCAGTTGTGGACCACATGCAAGTTGTAAAAGATGAGCCTTAAACTAAATATATCAAGAAATATAACCATCTTGCTGAAAGATGAGATAGAGTATCTGCACTCTGTAGATCTGATGGGAGGCAAGGTAATGCAAACAAATGATGCTTACACAGAATCAGGGCTGCATTATGGCTGTGTGGAAGGTTCTCTGTTTATGAATATGACTGCTTTAAATTTGTTGGTTTTGTTGCTTAGGTGCTTTGTAGAAACTTTTCATATGACAAATGCTTCAGAACAGATTAGCTATCCTAGAAGGTGGGTTAGGAGGCATGTTGTTTAAATGGTCCAGTATTTAACATCTAAGTGTAGGGCATGAATCCAGTTGTTTCCAGCTGTTGTATATATTACTGTAACTTTGAACAATTACCAAGATTTCTTTTCCTAATGTTGCTGTAACTTGCAAAACTGGGGAAAATGACATGTGCCTCTTGTGGTGTGTTAATGGAAGAGAGGAACTAAAGCCTTATGAGGGATATAGTTGATGTGGTTTCATAAACAAAAAGGGTAAATTAAAACTTTTGCAGAAGCACATTGTGTCTTCAGAGAACTCTTTAAAGTCTTCATCTTTCTTGACCTTTTTTCCACATAGAAGAAGTAATGCATCTGTACTAACAGTAACCTTTTACATCTGCTTTTTTTCGGTTAAGACAGCAGAAATGGGTGAAAAAATAAATTGTAGGAAACAAGAAATTCACATTAAATTTGGAGAAACTTGTGCCAATTTTGACTTTCAAAGTTAAGCAACAATTGAGAAATTGAATAGCAAATTTGTGCAAGCATTAGTGATGGGCTGTTAATGTGGTAATTCTAATGTAAGACATTGGGGCTGTTAACATCCATTTTAAGTTGCCGATTCCTTAAATCCGCAATAAACTGTGTTAACAGCTCAGTTTTTATCCACCTTAAATACAGTTAAAACTAAGATAAGCCCAGGTCATGCATTCTGGACAAAATTTTCCCCAAAGATTCTTACAAACCTAAGCCTTTTGGTGTCTTGACAAAGGAGAATTAGTGTAACTTACAGCCATGTGATGGCACTTGTGTCGAGGCCTAGTGGGACATGCACTTCCAGTTACACACAGGATTTGTGTGTGATACTCCATCCAGAAAGATGCAGAAGTATTTTTTTTTCCTTGAACACCAGCAAGCTCATTTTCTCTTTACTCATGATATAAGGGACTTTACCAATCAAGGGCTGTAAAACTCCTATTGTATTCTGCAAATTTCTTTGCTGTGCTGGAGGCTTTCTTCTTTTCTTGTCTGGGACATAATTTAAGTGTTTGTTAGATATTTTGCTCAGTGTTTTGATACTCTCCAACTAGACAAATGGACTGAAAAACCAGCTTTTGGAACTCCACTAGAAGAGCATCTCAAGCGCAGTGGTCGTGAAATTGCAGTCCCTATCGAAGCCTGTGTAATGATGCTTTTGGAAACGGGAATGAGAGAGGAGGTAGGTAATACCATATCATGTGCTATGAAGGACAGGAAAAAAGAGCTCAAACTCATGGACTGGTGTCTGAACTTAACAAGTTCCTTAAGTAGTTTTGTTCATTAGTGTAGATGATAGATCTTTTGCAAGAGAATAACCTTCAGCACTATTTGAAGTATCTTTGAGATGAATGCACCTAGAATGAAAAATCAGGAATGGTCCAAGGGTGAGAGGGAACTAAAACATTGTCAGATGGTAGTGACACATTAAGAGCCAGCTAGGTCATAACAGTGTAAGGTGAAGACACCAGACTTGAAACTGTTCTGAAAGAGGCTGTCATAAAACTTTTACTGTTACATGCTTATACTAACATGTTGTTACCAGTCAAATACACTTTATTTTTATTATGCAGGGCTTATTCAGAATTGCTGCTGGAGCCTCCAAGTTAAAAAAGCTGAAAGCTGCGTTGGACTGTTCAACTTCCCAGCTTGATGAATTTTATTCCGATCCCCATGCTGTTGCAGGTATTGTGAATGTTCTGAATCAAAACCAGATATAAATTGATACAATGCAAGTTTATGCTGTTCATTTAACTGTTGACTTGCTGCAGTGTAAGGTGTTGATCTCTGCAGATAAACTATGAATGAAAATAAATTGAAAGTTCACTTCATTGCACAGCTTAACAGAGATAAGTGTAGGGTACGCGTGCTCATCACGCTTGATGTATTCATGTCAGCATGACAGAGTGGTGTTTAAAATTCAGGTGATCATAGTAATCCAAATATCGTATTTCCTCTCATGACATGAGTGTTAACATGATCAAGGGAGATTAGAGCCATATGTAGACCTTTAATAAGGTCTTTGTTCTGAAGAGGTGATTCATAGTTTCATAGTACATGTTTCTGTCAAATTACAGTAATTACCGGAAGACCTTTTGTGTTAAGTGTTGAGCAGATAGACTGTGGAAGTGTCAGGTCTTCCCACTGTTTCACTGGAACTTGGGTCCTATTGCATAGATAAAATTGCAAATCTGAGGACAGAATTTTAAATGAAGACTGAAAGCATTGGCTAAGAAGCTCACCTGTTTCTCATCTGCATTGCAGGTGCCTTGAAATCCTATTTGCGAGAGTTGCCAGAACCTTTAATGACCTACAGTCTATATGAAGAATGGACACAAGCTGCGAAGTAAGCATACTAAAAATAGTTATATAGGAAAAGAGTCTACAGGTTTTTATCAAATTTGGTTCTTCATATACGAATTCAAAAGAAAAGACCAAGCTCACAGAGTTTACTTTCTTATTTCTGCTCTAACAGGTGAATATTTTTTATAACAAATTACTTTAAATTTTGTGGTTTACCTTAATACTAATTGCACAAAAATGTGGTGAAATATCTATTTTATGTTTAAACATAAGGGCTGCTTCAGGCTGTTGGCTGCATAGTACTGATGCTTAAGCAGCCTTCTTTCATTGCAGGCAGAGATAATTCAGGGATTTGACGAGCAGGTTACTGAATTACTGAATACAAAACAGTGCATTTATTTGGCGTAAATGGAAGGTTATACAGTCATCTCTTTGTTCACTGCAGAAACAACAATTTCCTGATCTGAAAGTAAGCTGTAATAGAAATTTTTTTTCCTTTCAGTATTCAGGACCAGGATAAGAAGCTACAAGAGTTATGGAGAATTTGTAACAGATTACCTAAGCATTATCATGCTAATTTCAGGTATGTATGAACATCTGTTGACTTGCAGCACAGCTGCTTTGATGCTGGAGTACTATGTTTCAAAGCTGATTAACCAAAACTCTAATCTAGGTGGTTTTTTTTCTTGGCCAAATTCAGTTAGGTTTATAAAAGGACATCCTGTTTTATCAAGTAGTTGGTGTGCATTGGTGGTGGTAGACTTTTTCAGTCAAGTTAATTCACTGTTGACTGTAATGAAATAGTGATGCATAGAATGCTTCCACTTAAGGGTCATGCTCTTGGCAATAGTACCTGACTTTTCACCAGCTGTGCTCTTCATTGTATTTTCCAGACTCAGAAATCACCTGGGTATATCTTACACATATTATTTTTCCTCTTGGTTTTGCCTTTTGGGAATGAATCAGAACAAAACCAACTCTGGTGACGCTTAGAAGTGTGGAAGTTCCATTATAGGATATGAAAATAGCTATTGAGTGGGCATTCTCAATCTAAACGTTTTTTCTGAAAATATAATAGTTCTGTATTTCTTCTATTTTGCTAAGGTGGGAAATGCTTTCTTTTCTACCTAGTTCAACTTCTATGATTCATGAGTAGGAACTTAGTAGCCAGCTACCAAGCAAGAAGACTGTTTGTCTCATTTCTGTTTTGTTGGGAGCTGTCTTTACAAGTTCTTGAATTTTTACTTAGTTGCTTTCAACAAGAAATGCGCTTAGTTCCTGCTGTTTAATTATTTCTTTCCTTTTTTGTAGGTATTTAATCAAATTTTTAGCAAAGCTTGCACAGAACAGTGATGTTAACAAAATGACACCCAGCAATGTTGCAATAGTCTTGGGCCCCAACTTGTTATGGGCAAAGAATGAAGGGTAAGTTGTTCTAGGAAAGCTACAAAACAGAACTTCCATGAAGCTGTAGAATTTCTTGTCAAATTGTTTTAAATCATGTAGACTATTCACAGCAACAGACTATTTTCCTAAAAAATATTTCAAATGTTCTTTCAACCTGTGCCTCCAGATCCTTTTAGCCGTGCATCTTTTTAGGAGTATTTTCAAATGCTGTGAGTGTTCCTGAAGAGTCTAGATTTCATCAGAGTGTGAAGTTGCTCTTTATGTGGTACTTAGGAGTCTTGATACGTCATGCTTAGCATAATTTATCATTTAGGTAACATGAATTATTTTTTTTATTTTCTTTGATAGAATTCTGTATAAAGTGTTCCACAAATTTCTTCTGCAGATCCCTTGCTGAAATGGCAGCAGCAACTTCAGTCCATGTGGTAGCAGTTATTGAGCCAATTATTCAGCATGCAGACTGGTTCTTCCCTGGAGGTAAATTCTTGCCATAGTTAAAAGAATTTTGTATTTGTTATAACCCTACGCAGGTAAACTTCCAATAGCTTTTTGCAGTGAGGCACCATTTTGTATGTCTTAGGATGCATTCTGTCTGTCTCTCTTCCAGATCAAGATTTCAATGTGTCTGGGGCATTTGTTGCAATTCTTGCTGTTAATTCAAATCACTTGTCACACACTGGGAATGAATATGAATCTGGGACACTGGAACGGAAGAGGCCTGTTAGTATGACTGTAATGGAAGGGGATTTATTGAAGAAGGAAAGGTATGTTTCATTCATGGGTTAGGTTTCAATTATTAGCTTACTCCTGAGAACTGGACTACTGAGGAGGCTGTAATCAGACACACTTTTACTGGTCTCAGGAGAAGAATTTCATGGAAATACTATAGGTAACAAGAGTGATTTATTTCCACCCCATGTTGTTGCAGCCTGAGGAAGGTTCAAAGGTAATGAACTGGTATTTGCTTCCAGTTGTACTCTATGCATGGTAAAAAACAAGCAGATAATTACTGCTTCCAGTTACCATTTTCCTATTACAGATTTGGGGGGTCTAAAATCCGCTGAAACAGAAGTGTATATAGTAGCATCTATCAGTATCTAACTTCTGATATTCCATGGCTTCTTTTTCAAAGCCCATAAGCTGAGGTGGTGTTACCTGGTGCCTTCATGGTAAGACTTCTGAGTTGATGATGGTACAGTATACCACAGCAAACAGTAGAATGCTAAAAAATAAAAATGAAACGTGCTGTTTTCCCCTATAACATGTAGTGTAACGTTCATTTATTATCACTCATATCATGAATATTCAAGTGATGTGCTGTTTTGTTTTTAGCTGTTTATGCAAATGTTAAATTGTTACCTGAATGTTAACTATGGATAGCCACATGCAAATTTATCAGCACTGACAGAGGAAGGAGAAAATCAGTTCAGGTTTTACCAACTTTAACACAATAAGAATAAAATAAAATTAAATTCTAGAATGAATGTGCATTCTAAAATCTGTTAGAATTTTAGTCCGTTTATCCATAGTTCTCCTTTAAACACAAATCATAGTGTATATCCAGTGGCTTTCTTTGTCTGTCTTGAAATCTGTGCTGCAACTTGGTGTGTAATAGAAACAAAATTCATGTGGCAAAATATATTCAGTGAGGAGATACTCTGGTATGTTAAGGAAATGTATGTATTTACATGTAAAATTACTGAGTGTTTTGGCCTCATTGTCATCAATGTCTGTCTTCAAATGTAATTGAATAGTTTGTTCCACTTATGTTTAGCTTACCGCTCTGTGTGGATAAGCCAAATAGTGTTGCATGTCTTAACATTAACGGTGTTATATGCAGAAAGTTGAAGCTTTCCTTGTTGCTGCTTTGCATGCTAAGCAACAGGGGTTGCATTTGTCTGTGTGGGTTATAACATCCAATTGTCCTGTTGCTTTAGTTACCTGGTGTTGGCTGGCGTGGTGTGTTTACTCTCTCTTCTTTCTGTAGCTTTGGTGTCAAGGTTATGGACTTCCAAGCGAATCCTCGGAGATGTGGCACTATAAATAGAAAGCACACATCCCCAGCTTTCCAGCCACCACTTCCACCCACGGAGGCTGGCGTGCTGGCTCAGTCTGGAGCGGAGCAGCACTCACAAGCTTCTGTGGCTGAAACAAGCCCAGTGGGTGCTGGTTTTGCTCTCTCTGCTGGCACAGCAGAACAGTTACAAAGTCAAGGAAATGAGGATGTCAGGTAAGAGGCATGGCTTCTGTTGGCAGTGGCTTAGCAGGCTGCTTCAGCAGCAAACTGATGTGTCAACTGTATCTGCTTCACAAAGCACCTCTTCTAACTGGAATGCAGGTTCTCATGTGTGAAGCCTTTTCAGGCGTGGGCAGAAGCACTATGCAAGAGCTCTCTTGCCATGCATATTGTTCCAGAATCGATCCCCTAAAATAACATACGTTGTTCTGTATGTTCCAGAATTGATCTTCTAAAATAAGAGAATTCTTGGGGAAAAAAAGGATGATGAAAAATACTAAAAAAGACTGTATTTCTACTACCCATGTTGACCTTTCCAAGTTATACTCTAGAGGTGTCCACACAGTACGACTATCAGTTTGCTGCCGAAAGAACAAAACCTACCATTGGCAATACTAGAAACATGTTGGTCTTGTTTGTTGTTTCTCGTACACGTTATCTGGATATGTCTCTTTTTTTTGTCTGTAGCAAGTGTTAGTGATGACCAGACTTGCTAGAAAACTGGAAGTCGATTTATCATACATCAGTATTAGTTTCTTTAGGACAAGTATGTATACAGGCTTTTTTGCTACTTAATTACTATTGAAACTTTGTGCAATCAAGTCCTCAGTATCAGTATAGACAGACTCCAAGACTAATGGGAGTAACCTTGACTCTTCCTTTCACGTATGGTGAAAACAGCGCTTTGCTTTCAATATTTTGTGGTCTGAGAGATAAAACGAACCACAGGTAAAGGCCTGTAGTGCTCTCCAGACATCAGCCTTCTACACTGCATCTTATGGTAAAACACCACCATGGAGTTCGACGCAGCATTGACTCTTTTGCATGTAGCTTTTGTTCTCAGGTGACATTTTTACAAAAACTACTTCTCTTTCAGAAATCCCCCACAAACTAGTATTTCCTCCACAAATGTCTTTTGTGGCATAGGCAGCTAAAACAAAACCTTGAGAGTAGTGTCTAAAAGCTGCATTTAAAATCTGCACAAACTCTGCATTCAAGTTCTTGCAATTTATTAACAGCATCTGGATAAATTAGGATTTCAATGTGCCAGTAAAAGTGACTGAAAGGTGTTAGTCCTTTTGAGATGAGTAAGATGCTGCAAGAGACTGTAGAGAAGTGAGTGAAGATTGCAAGCGCATAGCAAGAGGAGGGGGCACTGCCCAGTACTACCTTGGCTGGTTCATGCTCGAGTGCTGTGTTTCCCCCTGATTCTATTGTCTTCATAGCCAAAGGTTAGGAAGAGCTGAGTTGTCCTGACCTCAATCTCAAAGATTTTGCAGGGGTTGCTCCCTCAAAACAAGTTCTGGTTTCCCAGCAAGGTAAAAGCTTAATTCCAGGTAGGGTGGAGAGAAGACTTCAGCCAGTCAATGAAGGGAAAAGAACCTCTGCTCTCTCCACACCCAGCTCTTGCAGTCCCTGGGCCCTCCTGAGAGCTTCCAAAGGCTCCAGGGGCTTCAGCTGTGAGGACTACATCTGCCTCACCCGTATACTATATGTAGCAAGTTGGTTTATGTACCAACATATTTGGTATGGTTTTTTTCTGGCAGAGCTTCACAGATTGCCATCACTTGATCCTTAGTAACTAGGTCTACCAGATAACCGCCAGCGAATTGAATGTGATGCTGTGACAGAATATTTTGAAAAGGCTGACAGTTATAGGCATGATAGATATATTTGAATGAGGAGATTGGAGAAGTCGTTTTAGATGAGCTTTCATGTTGGGAGTCTGTTTTAAAGGATCTGCAAATACACTGAGGATGCGTTAGCATGGAGACTGTACTCCTAGGTATCAGTACTGCATTCAAACAGGTACTGTGATACTGCAGAACTACTTGTATTCCTAATTTTGGTAATTAATCTTTTGTACGGGCTTGCCTAAAGCCTACTTGCCACTTGTTTGAAGAGTTGTAGCACTGTTCAGTCTGTCAGTAAATATCAGCCAGTGCAGAAGTTTTTCTGAAGCTTTTGAGGGTCAGAACTATAGCACAGTTCATAATGTAAACCTGAGCAGGTGCAGCTGATCTGGGCAAGGCTTTTTACAATCATCTTCTAATTTAGGATTTTTAATTTTCAGTGCCTCAAAATCTAAGGACAACACATCTTCAGCTACTCCTCCACCAGTGAGAAATGGCGGGCATGCGGGCACTGTCCAGAACCAGTCAACAAGTAGCGCTAATCAGCTTTCTGTTAATCAGCCACAGAATGCAGCAGGTCCCAGTCCCCATTCAATGAGGAGAGGTGTGTTTTTCATTTTGTTCTCAACAAAGTTGAGAAGCCACTAAGTTCCAATTCTTTATGTACTGCAAAAATGCTTACTAAAATAATTTTATCAGTATCTCTTCCTTTATTGCAGACAGTGGTTTAATTCACTTGCATTTCACTAAGGCCTAGCTAAGTGCATCTTTGACTTTTGGGCTCTTTCATGAATGCTGGTAGTAATGTTACCAATACTGTTTAACAAAATCACTCAAAGACTATTGATTAGTAAACCCTTGACAAATTTCTGTAGCTTCCTATTGATATTGCTTTTATTTGATAATTCACCATTTTATTTTGATAATGTACTTGAGAACATTACATTACAGTTCTTTTGTGCTACTAATTTCTTTCCTTCAGGATTTTGGTTTCACAATACACAACCATGAAATCTCACCTCTTCTCTTAACAGCTGTTAAAAAGCCTGCACCAGCCCCTCCCAAGCCAGCCAACCCACCTCCAGGGCAGCCAGGAAGCCAAAGTTCTGCCCCAGCTGCTCAGCTGCCTTCTGTCTCTCCAAAACCACCTGCTAGAAGTTCTTCTCCTCCTGCTCAGCATGCAAACCAAGGAGCAGCCCAGACCTCCACTTCCCAGGTTTCTGCACCTCGGAGATATTCCAGCAGCCTTTCCCCAATACAAGCTCCCAGCCATCCACCACCACAGCCCCCAACACAGGCTACTCCTCCACTGCAGCCCAAATCAAACAGTCAAGCATCTCCTCCTGCTGCACCCAGCAGTGAGCATGGACCAGAGCAGCCCTGTTACACTCCTCCACAGACTCCAACACCACCCGATACACCCCCTCTAGGAAAACATAATACTAGTTCCCCATCGTCACAGTCACAGCCATCTTCTCAAGACACATCCCAGTCTCACTCTCCACCTCAGACTGGTACACTGCCAAGGCCACGGCCGGTACCAAAACCCAGAAATAGACCTAGTGTTCCCCCTCCGCCTCATCCTCCTTCTCAGCTGGCTGGAGATGGTGGTATTGCAAATCCCACGCAAACAGCTTCCAAAATAGTAACAGGTGAGCAGATTCTTTCATATTTGGTGTCTCCTCAGGGAGTGGAATTGAAGAAGATAATGTTTGTAGCTGTAAATGAATTTTGGGCAGGGCAACTGAAAGCCACAAATAACAGTTAAAATACTAAATTGCTCATTTCCAGTTAAAATGCCTACCTGCCTATTCTGTGCATGAGGATTTGGGGCACTTCCATAGTGAAGGTTCTTCCTGAGGCGGAAGGGTTTGGGGGGAAGTGTAGATTACCTTGCTTTATTTTTTTTTTTCCTGCTTTGGAAGCAAAACACTGTTATAGCAACCAACTCTCTAGGGCTTTCTCCAGGCTCAGCATCATGGCGGTTTCAATTATGCTTATACATCCATTGCCAAAAACCAAAATATTTGGAGGAGGGAGAAGGTGTAGCCAAGGATAGAATATTTCAGCATATACATATGCCAAAAGCAGTCACTGATACATAGACAAGATAGATACATACAATAGACAAGATACTAACACAGTGAATGTTTTACCTTATGAGAACGAAGTCTTCTGATGTGCTTTTAAGTTGGACATCCAGAAGCTGAAGAATCGCATACATTTAACTGTGTATCTTAGGTCAATTTCTAGATAGATCTTCATATTTTAAATGCAGCCTTCTTTTTCTGTTTTGAGACATTCGTGAAGTAAAGAGAAACTTTCTGTCTTCTCAGAGGAACTTCGTGAAGTTTGTAGTTACTAGTTTGATAGGGATAATGTTAATTTAAGTCTTGGGGGAAAAAGAAAAGGTAACTGCTGAGGACAGTCAAAACTAGCAGATCTTGAAATGTTCTCCTGCTTAGTCTCTGCTTATTTTAGGAAATTCTGAAGGAAGAGATAATGAATGTAGGAGACTAATGCTTTTAAATCTACTTGTATTTAATAATGGTTAAAACTTTCCAGTGACACTGCAGCTTCTCTAGAATAAGACTAATGTATTAGAATGCAAATTATAAATTCTGTTGCCTAACAGCTTTACCCCATGATGCCTTCACAGGTGGGGATGGTTACTGCGAATAAGGTTTGTACTTACCAGAAACATGCAATATAAGCTAAAATGCTCCTGCACAGCAATATTTTATTTGTAGCTTTATTTTGTATATGCGCTTTGGAATATGTGCTCTCTGTCAACTCTGTGTTATCTCATTACTACATATCATTCTGTTTGTAAGAGATTTTTAAGACCTACGCAGCTTAATTTTAATAGCCCTGTGAACATTAAGTTATTCCTTAAAACAAATTGTAAAAATAACTATAATGAAATGAGTAACACTTCACACAAAGTCACCAGAACTACTAGTCCACAAGTCAAGTGTGAAGCAGTGACCTATTTAAAACAGGTTTGTTCAGTGCAGGCAAATATTGAAGCTCATGGTTTTTCCTACAATTCAGTATTATATGATTGCATTTTAATGTAGCTTTCATTTTAGGTTTTCAGTTATTTTTAACTACTTGGAATTTATTTGGCAAAATAGTGTTCATGTGACTGAAACCCTTTGCAGAAAAGCACCCAGCAGCATCTGCATTCTGGCATGTTTGCATTTGCATTCTGTCAGCTCCAGCCTCACTAATAGTACTAGTCTGTTCAATCGCAGCTGCCAAATGACACATTAATAATCTTACTATTCATATGTAATGGGTTAGAGGTGCTACCTTTTTAAGGTAACAACTGCATGACAGGCTGAAAAAGTTGAGGCTGCATTCCTGAGTTATCTCAAGATTTGACTTCTTACAGGAAAGATACTGAAATTAGTATTGGATTGAGAAGTCAAGTTGGAAGTACAGTTTTCTTAAATTTGAGAAACTAGCAGTAAATGAGCTGCTTAAGCAACTAAAAAGTAGCTTTGCTTTTTAAAATAACAGACTTTTCCTTATTGTACTTCTGCTCTTTTTTTCAGTATCTTTAAAATACAAGAGCAATTTATTTCAAAACTGAATTCAGAAATAAGGCTGGGGTCTGGATCTTTACAGCACTTACAAATAAGTTACGAATGGGAACAGTGCTGACGAGTCAAACTTCAAGGAAGTTTGACTTCTTAATTTCTAAGTCGTGTTTCATAGGTTGACCATGTTTGTTTTCATTTGGGAATTTTTCTGGTTCTGAGGAAATAGTTTTGACGATAGCAGACAAGCAGGATTTGTTTTACCCCAGTGTAACTGGAGAAATACTTGCCTTCTAAATAATGTCCAGCTGGTATGCAGGGGGCCACTTTATTAGTGGGGGAGTTTAAGCTGCACAAAGCAAGCATCTGCTAAAGGGGAGTGACTGGCACAACCGAGCCTGGATATGGCTGTGAATTACAACTTAGTGCTGAATCCTTTTCAGCTAAGTTACAGGTATAACAGAGGTACACGACTGTCCTGTGGTCTGGGTAAATATAAAAAAGTACTGAAATCAACAGTGTTGAAACAGTGTTAAAACTGGAGAGACTTGATATTCATTCCTTTCAAGTGCAAACCGTAGCAAATTGGCCATGTAAGTTGTGCACAGTGAACGATAGTGTGAAAACTGCCATGCAGGAAAGCCAGTAAAAGAAAGCTGATTCTCTAGCAAAACTGATAAAGAAACCTAGAAAATCTAGTATGTTTTACAAAAAAACCACCTGGGGAACAGTTGAAGTGATACTCAGGCTTACCTACCTACAGCAGTACACTCAGTACAGGATCACCCACCTTTTCCAGATCAATCTTTTTTTAAAGGATTAATATTTGTTCTGAATTAACACCACTGCATATTACATAAGAGCATCTGCTCTAACATTTACACGTGCACATAAAAGCACTTATTGTAGACTGACTTATCTAATTCACAATGTGAAATAGCTGGTTTTAATTTTAACCTTAAATAGTGGAGCAAGGGAAGACAGAAGGGAATAATGGAAGCCAAAATTAAGTTGCCAGCAAACTTCATAATATCAGAACAGGAGTTCTGAATTCTTTTCAGGATACTGTTGAATTCCTTTGTCCATGTACTGGACTTCAGTAATGCCTCAAATTCTATTTATATATTAAAGTAATAAGCCCTAGAAAAGAATATTCTAATCAAAAATTTTATTAAATAATCTAGATGTTTGACCTGCATTCAGTAGGAACTGTATTGGAAAGTTCAATGGTAAGGAAAAGGCACATGATTGGCCAAAACCGTTGCTAATTCATAATCATGTGTGTGCTAATGCCCACTACTAACCTGTCACAAATAACACTGCTTGCTTGCATTATCGTTAGTGTGGCATGCAAAAAAAATGGCTGTTTGCTCGCTCTTATATTAACGTACTAAAAGTTCTGGAGACTAGAATGTATAAAGTTGTTCATGTTTTGACTGGCCAGTTTCACATTGTACTTCTTCCACGTACAGAAAATCCTATCTAGAAATCTATGTGGTTTATACAGAGTTTCATTTTGTATTTGAAGTAGCCGTACTATTGTTTGTCACAAATACTTCTTTCCTGTGTCACCTCACACTTTCAGTTACCTCTTTTTCTGATTCATCCTTCAATATGCAGTCGTGGTAGAGAGAATTTCTGTGCCTGCATCTAAAGTTGAAGTACACCTTTTGAACCATACTTTAAATGAAAATTCAAACATAATAGCAGGTATTGTTAGATACTAGGGAGAGTACCTCTGCTACTTGGTTCTGTGCTCATCTCTTCTGTGGCCAAGCGCAGTGTGGAACATTTTGAGTAAGGGAAAAATGCAAGAAGAATTTGGGAACTCGCATGATTGCAGTTGATTCTTCTATGTAATATTGCTTCTGTTAGCAATAGTAAAAATGACTAAAAAAATCTAAAGTTTAAATCAACTGACTTTAAAAGGGACTTATTTTAAACACATGAATGTGAGGCTAAGTGAAAAGGTTTGGTTTTAAAGTAGCCCCAGTAATTATTTCCTCATTGCTATCAAAGGTCTCTTGAAGAGTGACCGTCTTATAGGTGCCCCAAGGCACTGTTCACTGGGTATAGCTGATGCTGATTTTCAAAATGAGAATGAGGGCTGGGGAGAGAAATCTCTTTAAAAGATGGTGGTGTTTAACGAGTCATAACAGTACTGGTGGTTTGTTCTGTGCCTTCTGGATGATTTCATTACCACTGAAATGCTATCTTAGCAAAATACAGTACTCCCCAAGACTGTGATACAAGACTTGGGAGAAAATTTATAGTTCACACCTCGCAAGAAAACATAAATCCTGGAATCCTGATGTCGTTTTTGGAAAAGTTGCAGCAGTAGAGATGAGAACATTTAACTCTCTGGTGCAAGGCAAGCCAGTTGGTGTCAGGCCATGAGATGATGGAGCTACGACATTAATAGTATCACTGAATACAGAATTACTCCAGCTGCGTGAGGCTGGCTGGCACTCCAGTAATGGGCTGAGAGAGAAGCAGGGGAGGCTGCACTCAGACTTCAGTTCTGTGTCTGCTTTCACCTCTTCCATGTCATTTTGCTCAGAAATTTTCAACTTGAACATTTATAAATAACTTCTGGGCTAAATGTAAGACTCAATGCTTGAGATATGAGTCAAAGTCTTTATAGGATGTCTGTCTATGCCACCTAAGTTTAAAAGCAAGGTATTTATTTGGATTCTTTTTATTGATTTAAGTGATCTAAATGACTTTCTATTTGGATCAGCTGTTATGTTGCAATAAGTGATGCCATGGCGTATTATAAATTAGCTTTCCAAAATAGTGACTTGATATTTTCAGTACATTTTTTGAACTGTTACCGATTTTTCTGGTCTTCTAACTACCAGAGCAGTCAGTCAGCAGAAATGCAACATTTTGAGGTCCTTCTTGGACACCTTGGCTTGAACAAAATTCTCCTCCCCTCAGAAGAGGCAAAGAACATGATGTTCTGTTTTATACACAGGAAAGGGTTTTAATCTGCATTTCGTTTAAATAATTTCTTCCTCTTCTTGTGACAATGCCTCCTTTTAACACCATACATGTTCCTGTTGCTTCTAAAAGTCACAGGTGGTTGTTTACCTGGCTGATGATTTAGGTGCCAATTTTTTTGCTGAGTGACCATTGTGTTTTGACATGAAAGTCTGGAGTAACGTGTCACTCTTAAGGGGCATTGAGGAATCTGATACTAAATGGTACTTGCTGTCTTCCATTCTTCAGAAAGAAATGTTTTTCTTTTATTAAGTACCAGACTGAAAAAAGGTATGTAGGAGAAGCAACTCAAACATAAGCTTTTTAGTTTGTCTTAGCCTTTTTGTCTCCATGTGTGCATGTGCACATATGTGCCAGCCCTCTGTTTGAAATGCCTTTGTTGATCTTTTCTTTCCCTTTTCTTTCTAAGGAAATGCACCAGAAATACACTAGTGAATGAGATGTCACTGTCCAGACTGCTAAACTTGCTATTCCATTTTTTGTGCAGACTCTAATTCCAGTATTCAAGAACCACTTCAAAACCCTTCTTCAGAGCTTCTTACAGAGACAGCGAGCAAAGAACTGCACAACCATCTCATGCTCGATATTGACAATGATACAGAAAGCACTGCTCTGTAATGGAAACTCTCGAACTTTTTAAAGGTTCCTCTCCTGGTGGGAAAACTAACAGACCTAACAGTGAAAAGCTTCTTTTGACGATATGGCAAAACTGTGTAGAGTTTGACTTGTGCATCGCAGAGAAAGTGATTTAGCCATTCAGAAGAAGTTTAATGATCTGTGTCTCAACAGTAGTTTTCAAAATCTTGGATGGAAGGAATTGATTACTGCAGAAACTTGCATAGGAAGCATAATTTCTGCTAATACAGGTGGTATTAGCAGAAATTCCAAAAGAATAAGAAGCAGAATATTAGTTATTTAAAGTGCATGTATTATGGAAATAATCTTTTTAATGTCACGGTTAGACTTTTATTTCTAGTTCTTAGACATTACAAGGAGATGCCTTGCAAGAGACATTCCCTCACAGATTTGCTGCAGATTCTTTTTAAAACATGAACCAAAAAATGCCAGAGTGCTGGTGGTGACTGCTGGTTATCAGTTGCCTTGTCAAAACTGTGGATGTATTCTAGTGCCTTGAAGGACTATCATACTGTAGAAGGAAACTTACTGTATCTTTAATCATTTCATTGCTACTTAATGATCAGTACTTAATACTTATTTCATAGTTATTTGTATTAACCAAGCCTGCTTTTGTTTATGTGAAACTTGCAACTGTTTCAGGATGAAACTCTGGAAGTGTTTTTTGTGCTTTCATTGACAATGGTTGAATTTTGAAAGAACTTTGAAACATCTGTTTGGATTCATCAGTTGGGTGAACATTTATAAAATTAAAGATTGTCTTTTGTCAACTTAAGGCATCTTTATTCAAGTTTGTGAGTAACACTGCTTCTAGTGGTTACACAATCATCCCCTGGGCTTTTGTAGCTCATGAGTTGCTGGCTGCTCAGCTTATTCTTTTAAGGACTGTAGCGGAAGCATACTGGGAATGAATATGTATCTATTCTTTAATGTGTAGATTCACGTTAAACACAATGAGTCCAGCTGCAAAGAGAAACACTGGATACAGCCTGTATCATGCAGAGAAATGAGATGGAACAGGCCATACAGTTTCTGCGAATGAGAGGGAGGGAGAGGAAACTAGTCAATTCAGGTAACATTCATATAACTAGTTGAATTAATTTACTTAAACTGTAAATTCCTTAATGCTCCATAATACATTTTATTGAAGTTACTAAACTAGACCTCAGGCTTAACTACAAAATAAAACTGCATTTCATAAAGGTCTTGATAAGACACATTGCACTTGGTGACATGATGAATATATTTTAGTTGCTATCTTGTCGATGCCCCAGTTTGAAATCCCAGTAGCTGCCCAGTTTTTTCCTGGGTAGACATCTCTGAACAGAGAAGCTGAGCCCTGTTAGTGGGGGTAGACCTGCTTTTCTCTGTCACTACAGTAGCACTGTAACAAACTCTTGTAACTCAAAATTCAGTGTTATGAGCCACAACTTCTAGATCTGTTACTAAATTTGATGTTTATCTCTCAAACCGTATGCAGTGTACCTGAATCCAGGGCAGGCTGTGAAGGACTTAAATAAATTCTCAGAAAATCTTCTGGACTTGCACATTCTTCAGCATTATACAAATCGTTAATTGTCTCTGCCGGGATTAGCAGCTCAGGTGCAAGAGTGTGTACACTGTCACTTGTATCCTCACTGTCATCCTTGATAATAAACAGCATATTTCAATGCAGTTACAATAAGAGCATGGGGCTGTGACACAGTTAAAGTTGAGGAAATTTGCCCTTCTCTACCAAACACAACTGTGTCGTCTGTTCCCAAGAGTGCACAGCAATGGGCAGGGGTAGGAGGCGATGTAAGGTATCGGCCTCATGAGTGACTTTCACCTGGCTTTAAGCTATGTTGGTGCACTTGATTAGTTCAATCAAATGGCTGCACAGAATAACTCTACAGAGGCCTAGAAAGAAACTTGGAGTAAAATACTGAGGTTTTGTAATGCTTTAACACTGCTTCTAGAGTCCTCTCAGGTGTGTATTATGTAAACTCTGCTTGAAAGACAAGTGCGGCTGCTTGCTGGTGTGGTTTGGGGGGATTTATGGGGATAAACTGGGTTTATAGCCCAGTTATTTGAAGTTTACCTCAGAACTTTGAATAGAGGCTGCCAGTTTGAGTAGGAGGGTAAGGCACTCTGCGACCACCTCTGCTGTAGACTGCGACTGCATCGAGCCTTGTGGGCATGTCACAGGAGATGTTGCTATTGCCACGTACCAGTCTGGGAACAGTCTGGAGGGGATGTCATGTGCCACCACTAAAACTTTAATTTCCTGGAGTAAAGCACTGAGTGGAAAGAGAGTGAATTCCATCCTAAAGTACAGCAAGGAGTTTTTATCAGATGGTCAAGTTTCATAAACTACACAGTGAGTTGCTGTTTGCATTCCTAGAGCTATGCTAGAGCATTGTATGCATACAGCATGGCGCACCCCTCCCACCCCAGCCAGCAGAAACCTTTCCTAATTGTACTCTGATGTACTGTGTAAGGGTCTTGAGCGGACTGGTCAGATGTGAGGGTAAGAAATGAGCAAAAGAGCAGTAGGGATTTAATAAGCAAATGCAGGAGTGTGATGGTAGCTTGCTTTGATAGGAATTCCATTCACAGCAAAGAAAATGACGCAGCTTTCATGAACCTGGATTTCAGTGAATTAATACGGGGCCCTAGAGAAACACCCAGGTTAAGCTATAGACAATAATTGGCTGAACTCTGTGGGACTGGTTAGGTAGTGTTGAAAGGACAAATAGCAGGCTGGAAGGCAGTGACTAACACTCTAAAGATAATTTTTGGAATTCCAGTATGTACATCTACAAATGTTTACAAAGCAGGGTACAGAAATAATAACAGCCGATTCCTAAGGAAGGAATTTTCCTACTTTCTGAAACCTATGAAGGCTGTTGACAGTTGAAGTCTTGGTGTCTTGAAGATAGACTCCAATGCGAGGGCTGCGCAAGAGCCTGCTGTCAGCTGCTGACTGCATCCAGAAAAGATGCGTTGTGTTAGCTGGAAAATGTCAGCTCCTCTGTGGTCAACAGGTATTCAGTGGGAGAATAAAAGCTTGATATCATCATAGCTAATGTTCAGGTTAACCTTAAGGAAGCATTCTACCACTTCGGCTAAAATTTTGTTTCATCTAAGTGATACGAAACGCTTACCTATGACCTTGATTTTGGAGAGAAGCTAAATCTTGGATGATGAGATGGATTGTGCTACTGCAGGACTGCAGAGGAAAGGGTAGAGCTTTTTCAGAATTGCATATTACAAACTAATTTGTGAATATAAAAATAATTCATCAGCTGCCCTACATGGGCTCTGCCTTTGAGTCACAGGTGCCGAGGACAACGCACATTGTTCCTATTACGTCTGACAGAACATGTCATCTAATTCTGTCAAAATAATGTTCTGGGGCAGTTATCTGAAGCGTTGGGTGGAGCAAATCCCAGAGGTAAGCTACTGAACCCACCACAGCATTATTCAGGTCTTTAAGCCTACATAGGAGTAAGAGATGGTTATACATTTATAGTTAGCTGGATCTTAGAGGCCAAATTTGTACCAAGATGAATCAAGGTTACTTGATCCCACTAGGAATTTATGTAACTTACCTCTACTACATGAAGAATATAGCTGGAATAGAAAAGTAGCAGACCTGAGACTTGTTCTCTGGCGTGGCCTTCTAGCACATTTTCAAACAATCCTCTGTGATAACCTTGTTTCAAAAGAAAAACTGGTAGTTTGTCAAACAGTTTATAGCGATAGTTCCAGCAAGTTAGTGTTGTGTGGTCTGTTTTGTGTTCTCTCTGCTGCCACAGACAACAGTCACACGTTGTGCTTTTATTATTCAGAAGAAACATGAAAACATTGCTACCATGGGAATCTCTTCTTGACATATGCACCAGTGCAATTCACCTTAGCTCCTAAAACTGCACCAAAACCTGCAATATTTCAGTAGCTGAAGTCTAAAATTCCCATTAGCGTTTGTTTACTCTAAAGATGTAGTTACATCTTTGTTGTGGTAGATCGATCACCTGAAGGCCCCAAATGTAGAGTGCTTCAGAAGTCTTGCATGTGCAGTTGAATCCTTGCCTCTGCTCAACGTTGGCACTAGCTGATACAGGTGTTTAAAATAAAATTGTCTTAATGTATCTCACTCATCAGACAAAACATTTGGTATACATTAGTTGCCTAAGAAAGTCATACATAGAGTTGGTTGCAAAAACAATATCAGACTTTTAAAATAAAGTCTGTGTTTCGTTTGCTTAGGAAGCATTCCCAAGTGACAAAACTCTTTATATGGTTTAAGAAAATAGTATTTTCTTATTTTTTGGGCTACTACAAGGCTTATATGTATCACTGCTCCATACTGTCCATTATGTTACCCTGTACACGTGCAGCGCCATAAGCTTTAGTAGGCGATATTTGCTACAACTATGCAACATTCACAGTTTTAATGTCTTCTAAGAAACGGTATGACAGATGAGCATGAAATGTGAGTGCAGAAGGCGGGATTCCCTGAACCCTAGCGCACAGCAGGGACGTGGTCGCTGCGGCTGTTCGCCCTCCGCGGCGAGGAGAAGCTGCCCGCCCGCTCTGCCGCACCGGGGGAGATTCGCGAGAGCAGCTTTGCGAGTGGGCTGCGCGTCCCCTCCTGGCCGGG